CGAAGCCTCATTATTTTGCTAGGGTTAATAACCCCTTTTCAATATGAATTCCGAAGAATGTATCTTATGTCGAAATTTAATGGTTACTATATTCTCTATTTCTGAAATGCAATAGTTAATTTATTCTAATTAAATTTGCTTCCTCGTAAAGGAATCTTTGTAGTCCTTCAAATCATAAAATTTTTAAAAATGCCCAGGTGCGAAAAGTTGGTCGGGCCATGGTCGCGCCGACCAAGTGGATAGTCGTGCCGACCTTGGCAACCAAAGGTCGGCCGAACTAGCGAATTGTAACACCCGCCGTCCAGTGGCTGACATGGTCGGGCCGACTATGGCTGCCAAAGTCGGACCGACCAGGGGTGCCAAAGTTTTGCCAACCATGTGAAAGAATGTCGGCTTGACTTTGGCAACCATGGTCGTGCCGACCTTGGCAGCCAAAGGTCGGCCGAACTAGCGAATTGTAACACCCGCCGTCCAGTGGCTGACATGGTCGTGCCGACTATGGTTGCCAAAGTCGGGCCGACCAGGGGTGCCAAAGCTTTGCCGACCATGAGAAAGAAAGGTCGGATTCACTTTGGCAACCTTGGTCGTGCCGACCTTGGCAGCCAAAAGTCGGCCGACCGATTGCAAAAAATTATTAATTATTTATTATTATTATTAATTATTATTATTCATTATTTATTTGTTTATTGTATACATCTTAACACTAAACGCAATCTTACACATAAATACAAATTAAAATTTCTAACGCTCGCAGGAATCGAACTCGCAACCTAACGCACCGAAGTCTAACACGCTAACCATTACGCTACGCTTACATGAAAGCCTAAGAACAAAAATGATTTTATAAGCTGCAACTTCAAACTGACCATCGGCCCGACTCTGGCCAAAGTCGGCCCGACCAAGTGAAATTAGGTTTTTTGCACTCTGGCTGCCATAGTTTTACCGACCGTCGGCCCGACTCAGGCCAGAGTCGGCCCGACCAATTGAAATTAGGTTTTTTAAACTCTGGCTGCCATAGTTTAACCCACCATCGGCCCGACTCAGGCCAAAGTCGGCCCGACCAACTAAAATTAGGTTCTCTAAACTCTGGCTGCCATAGTTTAACCCACCATCGGCCCGACTCAGGCCAAAGTCGGCCCGACCAACTAAAATTAGGTTCTCTAAACTCTGGCTGCCATAGTTTTACCGACCGTCGGCCCGACTCAGGCCAGAGTCGGCCCGACCAACTAAAATTAGGTTCTCTAAACTCTGGTTGCCATAGTTTAACCCACCATCGGCCCGACTCAGGCCAAAGTCGGCCCGACCAACTAAAATTAGGTTCTCTAAACTCTGGCTGCCATAGTTTTACCGACCGTCGGCCCGACTCAGGCCAGAGTCGGCCCGACCAATTGAAATTAAGTTTTTTAAACTCTGGCTGCCATACTTTAGCCAACCATCGGCCCGACTCAGGCCAGAGTCGGCCCGACCAACTAAAATTAGGTTCTCTGAACTCTGGCTGCCATAGTTTTACCGACCATCGGCCCGACTCAGGCCAAAGTCGGCCCGACCAACAGAAATTAGGTTCTCTAAACTCTGGCTGCCATAGTTTTACCGACCGTCGGCCCGACTCAGGCCAGAGTCGGCCCGACCAACTAAAATTAGGTTCTCTAAACTCTGGTTGCCATAGTTTTACCGACCATCGGCCCGACTCAGGCCAAAGTCGGCCCGACCAACTAAAATTAGGTTCTCTAAACTCTGGCTGCCATAGTTTTACCGACCGTCGGCCCGACTCAGGCCAGAGTCGGCCCGACCAACTAAAATTAGGTTCTCTAAACTCTGGTTGCCATAGTTTTACCGACCATCGGCCCGACTCAGGCCAAAGTCGGCCCGACCAACAGAAATTAACCTTTTTAAACTCTGGCTGCCATACTTTAGCCGACCATCGGCCCGACTCAGGCCAAAGTCGGCCCGACCAACTAAAATTAGGTTCTCTAAACTCTGGCTGCCATAGTTTTACCGACCGTCGGCCCGACTCAGGCCAGAGTCGGCCCGACCAACTAAAATTAGGTTCTCTAAACTCTGGCTGCCATAGTTTTACCGACCGTCGGCCCGACTGAGGCCAGAGTCGGCCCGACCAACTAAAATTAGGTTCTCTAAACTTTGGCACCCATAGTCGGCCCAAACTTGGGTGGAAACAGTAACCAAAGTCGGCCCGACTTTGGCTGCCGACCTATTGGCAGCCATAGATGGGCCGACCTGCGCCCGACCTTCCAACTCTGGCGGCCGACCAAAATTCGCACCTGGGTGGTTTAAACAAATTTTCCTTTGTATAGAAACTTGTTCTATGAGATCCAGATCAACGGTCAGAATGTATGTTGTGTGTGTGTGTGTGTGTGTGCGTGCGTGGATCCCTTCTATTGTGAACACGATAACTCGAAGAAGTTTTAACTAATTCTAGTTAAAATTCCTACGTACATTTATCATATAAATATCTAAAATTGAACAGAAGGATTTTTAAATATCTTCAAAATTACGGTAATTTTTTATATTAAATTTCACTGTCTTTAATTTGGTTATTTTTAATTTTAAAATTGCATAAATTTTCATTTAAAAAAGTAAAATCGAAAGTTTTATGTTCATTATTATATTAGACTTTCTTTTAGGTAAAGAAAATCCAAGATACATACATATGTTTTAATAGTCCTTTGTGTTACTAATAAGACCTCCAAAAGTTTCTCTTTTAAACTGTAATTTGTTTTAAAGTTTTGATTTTGAAAAATAATATAATTAAGAAACGCGAGTATTAAAAAATCTATTGATCCGTGTTCGTTGTAATCATCTAATGACTCTATATAATTATATTTATACCTATTTATATCCGCCTAAATCTATAGTGCATTTTGTCAGTTTATTACTTCACGGAACTAGTATAGAATATCCTCATGATCTATCGTGACCAACGCACCTAAGACGTGTACTCGTAGGAGATGGTCTGACTTCTTCACCATAGAACCAAATTCAAATATCTGGACACTGCCTATATTCTTGCCCGACGCGACAGATTACTGTAAATTGTACCTCGAGACAACATAACTATTCTGGCTTTAAATGTTTCTAGACTGACTTATAATTTTCCCCACGGGCTACAAAACGACTTGAAATTAGAAGTACCCAGATAGCACGCAAGCTTGCTGCAAATTTGCAGCAAACTTGCACTGCAAGTTTTGCAAGATTGCAGTGCAAGCTTGCTGCAAGCTTGATGACAAGCAAAGTTGCAAAATTTTTTTGTATGCATAAAAAATTATGTTTTTTTTACCCTTTTTTGCAAATATTTTTAATTTTATTAAATTTAAAAAAGCAGAAAGCTTGCACTGCAATCTTGTAAAACTTGCAGTGCAAGTTTGCAGCAAGCTTGCGTGCTATCTGGGTACTCGAATTTGCCTGGACCACCCGTCTAGTGAGTTTTCTCAACAGAGGAGAGGGGAACTGTAAAAAACCTCTCCAGGTTACAACCGGTTTATCGACAGCCGAGTTCTGATGGTGGGTATCGGACAATAATCGACAGTGTACATCATTATACCTCAACGTCAAACGAAAGTAGTCAGAAAACACCGGGCTATAGCGAGAGTCGAAGAGCGGTCACCCATCCAAGTACTAACCGTACTCAAAGGTGCTTAAACTCGACGGCAATTGCGTCCCGAGACAAGCTCATCTTATAATGCAAGGCATTCTGGATTGAGCTTGCTTCTTATTAGTCTGAAGAGCACCTGAAGACAAGTCAGTAGACAAAGTGGTAGTGATTGAAAAGACCGTTCGCGCGAGTTATAAAGGTTCGGTCTGTAGCAGCGCGAAGAGTGCGAGTGGTGGGGAGAAAGCGGGCTGCGCGAGTCTTGTGCGCTGTCGTCAGTCTCTCTCTGCCTGCGAGCTGTACGAGACTACGATGGCACTATGAAAGGCCTAAGGATATTTGGAAATTTATAATACCCATAGGACGACCAAGCGACGTTGATAAGAATATCTTAAGGATATCCTACTTTCCGGATATGACTACTCTCTAAACCTGAAACAATGAAATTTGACTGATTTTCGGTGACTCTATTGTTTAGTCTACACTGCGTATGTCTGAAGCTGCAATACTGTATTGCAATATGATGTTGTAAAGTTGTCCTAAGGATGCTTTAAAATGTCCAGGATAACTTATCATGTCGTTGTCTGACCCAGAGGCGTCTTTAAAATGACTCTAGAATGTCTTTAAGACATCATTATAATATTTTTAGAACATGTTTAAGTCATCTTTTGGGCATACATATATGATATAAAATATCCAAGAGAATGTCCCAGATACGTCCTAATAATATCCATAAGGTACTTTTGGACGTCTGCATACCAGATATAGAATTTGATTAAGACGCCTTTAAGTCTGCCTTAAGACATTTTTAGGATGTCTTTTTTAAAACATTGTTAAGATGTCTTTAGGATATTTGAAAGATGTTTTTTACAATGTCCTAAGAACGTTCTGATAAGAATACCGTAAGGATACCCCAAGGATATCTGCACTCACTGGGAATCTTGTAGCAATCTTTTATATTAAGATTACAAAAACCGTTCAACCTTTTATTGATAGCAAAGCCTATCGATTTTTGAAAACTGTCTGCCATGTTGAATCAGCCATTTTGAAAATTAACTTATTCAGATTTCGAAGTCAGCGAATTCTAAAACAAAAACTCTGAATATTAATTTTTGCCTGAGTGAATTTTTAGCGAAATGTGAAAAAGTACGAATCTTTTGAAGCGTTTTAGTTACGTCACCTTTTATTCCTCCGTGTCTCACGCTGCGAAATATCAAAGCGTGGACGCTAGTGCCTCTAGTGCCAGTACGTGGAAGCTTTTTGAGATGCGAGACGACTGGTGGGAAATAAAATTGGGATGAACGTAACGCGTGGCGTGTATAAGGTTAGGAGGGGAGCCTATAAGGCACTACAGAGGGAGAGAAGAACTCTAGCAGTGGAGCCTGGTGGAGTCTTGACGAGTTTCGAACTACGTTGATTGCAAGGCATGAGAATGTCAGTAAAAGAGTTTGAGGTACTGGGTGATCTGTTCGCGCGTGGAGATGGAAAGACTGACATGGCGGGGCAAAGCCGGCTTACAACACGGCAATACCGCGCTCAAGGTTTAGTTGCCACTGGTCGGACTGTGGGTTCGGAGTGTTTTATTTTTGTTTATGCCAGAAATAACAATTTTTTATACATGTATAAATACATATATATATATTTACATAAATTTTGCAAATTCTTTTATCACAGTGTTCGAGAATGCATACACATGAAACTATTAACTATGAACCTTACGTTTTACTATAAACAAATATTGTTATTATTGTTATAATTGCACTTGCCTTGTGAACGAAAATGCGAAATTCAATATTAGAAAGCCACCATTAGTGTTAGTAGGGTTAATAGTGTGAAATTTAAGGAGAAATTAATGAAATAATTAGTAAATGAATTCCGCTGAAAAGAGTGGCTGATACTGCCTAGCCTGGGTGAATAAACAGTTGGAATCTTCAAGGCAGATGACGTGGAACCGGTTAAGGTCATTCGCGTGAAGCACGAAGACCGCATGTTTTTCTTCTACGTTATCTCTAGCCACCATAAGTTTCTCTGGAACTTAAATGAAGAATGTGCTTCATCATTTTTAATTTCTGCATCGGCATTTCGTTTTCAATTAGATTATCAAGAACAAATGTGCTTCCATTTTCATGTTATGTGAATTATTATTACTTGCATCTGCATTTCTTGGTGACTTATCTTATTCTTATCTTGGCATCATTCGTTTGTAAAAGTTAACAGTGATAAAATTTCACAAGTGCAAAGTGAACATGAACAGCTCATTCTGGATTTAGTTGTTTACAACAAATGCATTAGAGATTAAAGACATTTAAATTTGTAGAGGTAAGATGAGAACATATTCTTTTTAAAAAAGTACTGTACATTTTATTAAGATTGTTGAAAAGCTTTTTCATAGTCATAACGATTGCAATATTAACCCTTCATTATTTAAACGCTGCATATTTTCAGCATTTATTAGACTTCTTGAGCACTAATTAATTCTAATTATCTATACTATCATTTGGCAATATTTCAAAATTTCTTCTTATAAAACTCTTAACATTGTTCAATACGAAGTAATTTTCTCAATATCTTCAGTGTTTAATATAAAAAAAACGAAAACGAAGCTTTCTGTTGTAAAAAGTATGCTTTAACCCTTTGCGTCATGAGTTGCTCAGAGACCCACCTTGGTTTTTTCATTTCACGCGTTTAACATTTTGGCTTATGGAACAAACTGTCTACTAATATTTTTCGCATTCTGATCAAGTTTATTTCAGGTTTTGAATATTGGAACCTCCCTTAATCAAAAGCTATAAAAATATCAAGCTAACTTAAAATTACTTCTTTTTTTTAAGAAAAAATTTTAAGATGATGAAGATTTTCAGAATCGTGGACAATCCTTTTGTCTATTTCAAGATATTAGCACTAGAAACAACGTACGTAAATATCGTCAAGGTGTGTATGCATAATCTTAATCCGTTCTCAAGTTCTCGTGTCGATACGATGGAGTGGCATCCAAACAGACTCACACATACACGACACTTGGCTAATTGATCATCGCTCACTAATGTAAATGCATTTGTATTCTTAGTTATTGTTAATTTTTACATATGAAAAACACAAAATTTCTACTTATCAAAACATATTTTGTAACTGTAACGTAACGCTGTGTTAGGTATTACGAAATTACATAGGAAGGAAGAAATACTGTTTTGTAACTGTTAATAAATGTTACACAAATTTTTCATCTCCATATGCGACTATTATTTTATAAGTTTTTCATATCAATTATTACAGTTTACATAAAAGGAAATATTTTACCATTTGTTTAACAGTTATAAATGTCTTACTGTATATTATAAAATGTTTGCATTATAAGATTCAAGGAATGTAAAGTTTCTAGCTACATTTATAATTTATTGCTTTCTAAATATAAGAAAATTATAAAGTTTTACGTTCCTTAAGTTGAAAATAATTTGCATCTTATTTTGGTTATGGAATTGTTACTCACGGTTTTGTAACATTGCTGATAAAGCTTCAACTTTATTAAATTATACAGAAAAAAATCTTAAAAATATTGCTGTACTAATCATATTAACGTTAGAAAAATCCATACATTAAATATAAGTTGTATACGGATGAAAAATTACTTAACATGAAACGAATTAATTGATAAATCTATTTCGATAACATCACAATAAAAAGTGTTTTAATACCGAAAAGAGGTATTAAAACACAACACGATTGAGGGCGCCACTGTCTATGAGAACTAGCACTGGTTAAAACAACGTACAACAGATGAAATAACACCTCCTTTTCTGTTTGAAGAACACACAGAACTTATTATTTCGAATTAAAACTAATGAAAAGTTTATTACTTCATGAGTAGAACCCAACATATCATAAATTTTGTCAATATAATTGCGATAAAGAAGAAAACTTTGTTTCTCAAGGATCTACGGATTAAAAACAATGGAGAGAAAAATGATTTAAATATTTTTATTAATTTACTTGCCTATACGGATTTGAAAATGACGTCGAGACAGTCTTGTAGTTATTTTTTATTTAGAACTTTCCGTTAAATAATAAATTGTAAGTGAGAAGTCGTCCAGCGTCATTGCTGAATAGACTTTAATGAAGTTTTAACTCATTTTTGCTTTTAATGTTTTTAACCCACTTTTGCTTGCATATTTATTAAGACATGACTCACACTTTTTCGTGTGAGTAGACCCTCTCATTTTCATGAAACATTCAAGTTTATATTTCAGCATATTTTTATGCATGTAATAATTTGTATATTTTATAATTAACATACAAACAGTTTGAAATGCTGATAAGGAAATGAAAAAAATGTACATGTAATTAAATTTTTCTTGAAATTATATTAATTCCATACACGTAATGTTAAAACTTATTGAGCTAAACCGGAAGTCACCCCTTAAACACCCCTTTCATTTAAAAATAAAAAATACATGAAACTTCCGCTTCAATAAATATTTAAAATTCTTTAGTAATATGATGAAAGCACTAAAAAATTTTTATTACTTTTGCAAAAATGATGCTATGTACTTTTATATTTCTTATTTAATATTTCTAATTCCATTCTATACTGTAATTTTTATTGTTAATTTAGTATCTTAAAGGATTCTATTAAACCTGATTATAATGACAAACATTGAAAATTAGAAGATGCAAGTTTTTACTTTTAAATTTATTTCAATATAACGTACTCTGTACGATTTAGAAGAAAAAATAATCTTCCATTCAAAGGATCCCGCACTAAATTATAGTTTTGGCTATTACGGTTAATTTTTTCCATATTTTCAGAAATAATAATAGTTAAAAAAAACTGTTCAGATTCAAGATATAATTTATTTAATCTAAAAATCCAAAAAGTTTCACTAAAATCTGAAATTGAAGTACCCCTTTTCTCAATAGTAATTCACTTAATAAATCATTAATATCCCCACACAAAATACATTAATTTTGGCTTACCCTTAATTTTTTTTCTACTTTCAGAAATAATAGTTAAATGTGTTGAGATTAAAGATTATAATTTACTCAATTTCAAAATCTTAATAGTTTTTCTAAAATTAGGGTTTAAAAATACACCTTTTTCAAAAAATTAGTAAAAAAGTGGTATATTCAATACCTAATTTTAGTGAAACTATTAAGATTTTGAAATTGAGTAAATTATAATCTTTAATCTGAACACATTTAACTATTATTTCTGAAAGTAGAAAAAAAATTAAGGGTAAGCCAAAATTAATGCATATAGTGTGGGGTCATTTTTGTCTTAAAAAATGTTGTTAAATGCTTTTGATTAATAAATTATGAAATAAAAATTTGTAAACGTAAAATATTATTGTTTTCTTAGAAAATAATGTTTTTCTTCCCAATCGTTGTTAATAAAAGTTATGAACTTCATTTACATTGTATTTTATAATTCAAGAACAATATTTTTGATTATATGATTCGGAGTGATGCCAATAAATAGTCAAGATTATGTTTTAAAAAAGTTTGATTGAACTCGATTGAACTATAGATTGAACCTGAATGGAATTTGGTTTCCGATGAATTGAAAAAGTTGTTTGGTGTCATTTTCTGAGAGGCAGGTATAACGATAGTTTTGTAAAGAATCGCACATTCACCTGCTATGTTGAGTGATCAATCGGTGATCTTGTTGTCAAAGCAAACTATATTCACCTGCCTTTTGGTATTTAGGGCTTATTTCGGATTATTTGGGCCTTTTCAATGCAGGTATTCAAAAGTGTTAACTATAGAAAAGGAAAATTGGTTAAATCGAGGAAGAAAAGGGGCGCGTGTGGCAAGCAGGTAGTTTCTTTGTAAGTACCACTTAGGGTGTTTCAAAAAATTGTTCACTTCCACATTGTACTCTAATTAATCATTTATCTGTTCTGTTAATTTATTTGCTAAACAGAAAAAAAAGTTTTACTTTTGAACAAGTTTTTCATTTACAAACAAACAAAATTAAAGGTCAAAGCTAAAAATTGCCCTCTTCATTGAAAAAATTTATATTAATTTTTTATGCTTTTCATTTATAATTTTTATATTTCATTTACAGGCTATTATTATATTATACGACCCTAAACTACTGAAACTTTCTTGTCTGTATGTGTGACCCACGCGATATTAGAGATGGGAATTCTTAGCACAGGCAGAGAGTTAAGGGCGTGCAAGAAGCTTGCAGAGTTGAAGCAAGTTAAACCGATTTTTCTTTCAAGTCATGTGTTTATAAAAATGTATTAATTATTTTCTCGAAGCACATTATTATTTTTTAACAACCGTTATAATACATCGTAGCCTGCTTAAATAATTTTGGGTTTTCAGCAAAAAAAGTATGCAAATTATAGCTAACGAAACCTTAGTTTTGAAATGTTTCATTATATTTATAATTTATAATTATTAAATAATGTTAACTTTTAGATTAAAAAACGTATATGTGCCTTTCTATCTCATACGCTTGGCGTGAAGTTCATATTGAAACGCAGAATTCAAAACTGAAATATGATTCAGGTTCTTTCTATCCATCGATTTTAATAAAAAGTTAAAGAAATTATTAACTACTGAATGTGCTATAGCTTGATCATTTGTAGGCAAAAGTTTTGGTCCACGATCCTAAAATTTTTATTGCCTCAATAAAATTCGATGCTAAAATGCAACTGGATTTGATAACATTTTGTTTAAAGTTGGAACGATAGTTAGGAACGAAATATAGTACGAAATGTAACTGCGTAATGTTACAGAAATATTACCTTGAGGCGGACAATTTGTTATTACTGTAATGATGCGTGTTACTTATATAGAAACACTGACAACAATATAAAAAACCTATTTTTTCCGTTTCAGGAGACCTATAGAAATTCGTGGATAAATCAACATTTGATTTTTTGAAAGTGACTAAAATATGCATTCGTTAGAAAGAAGGTAATTGTAAATTTTATTCTTATCTGCTTCTAATTCACATTATTGTACCTTCTATTTATATATGCAGTCAAATTTTAGCGCTTGTTAATTTGAAACTGTTAAATTGAAATTATGAACTTATTATTGTTTGCTGATTCCCCGACTCCCAACTTGACAAAGACTCATCTTTCAAAGACGGTACGTGACATCATCAGTAACTATATCATTTCCGCATTCTTAAAAACTTTTAACCCCTTAACATAATATCAAACTAAAAAGTGCCTTTAACACAAAGTATAATACATCATGTTTCTAAAGGATTTCAACAAATTATCAAAAATCTAAGTAAAAAATTGGTCGAATTAAATTTTTGGTTTGAGATAAAAACAACTTTTTATAGTTTAGGGTTATATCAAGATGTTCTGAAAGTTGACTGTATTTTATCTATAGATAAAATATCTGAACATAAAAAAGAGTAAAACTATACACTGCAAAAAGAAATATCTTAATTTAAGATGTTAAAAGTATCTTCGTACACATTTTTAGCATATTTTTTGGGAAAAAGTTTTGACGTTAACTATATATGGGCTCATATATATGTAAAGCACTTTTTGCATCTTAGTGTTTATTAACTAATAACATTTCTGTCGCATCCTACAATTCACATGTACTCTCTAAATCTGAATCAGTGACTCTATTTTCGCGATTTGAATCAGTGGAATTTCACTGAAAATCAGTTAAAAATAACTGAATTTTCAGTCATTTTCCACTGATTCAACAATTAAAAAACTACTGAAAATTTCAGTTATTTTTTAATTGACTAATCAGTGAAAAATGACTGATTCGGGTTTAGAGAGTATAACTTATCGCTAAACATCTTATTGCGTCAGAAACATAATCTTAATTTTAAAATAACTTTAAAAAACTTGCCGAAGTAACTTTTTCTAAGATGGATGAAACATCTTCATCATTACTAAAACGTATAAAGTATCTTAGATATCATTAAGATTACTTTAAAAAACATCTTATTTTAAGATATACAAAAGACACAAATTTAATGTTTATTTTATTTCTATGTATATGTTTTAAAGAATTTAGAAAAGGTCACTTTTCAGTTTTTGAGCTTTACGGATATTTTTTTGTTAATACTCAGAATTTAAAATTATTTGTCTGTTTTGACCCTAAATTGTAATAAACTGACAAACGTGATTTTCTTATCATATTCCAAAAAAATGTCCGCATTTAATCAAAAATTGGGAGAAGTGCGTATAGCTAATTAATTATCACATTTTTACTAATTTAGAAATATTTGTTTCTTTAGTATTTTCTATATTTTCGTCTGGAATTTTGTTGAGGATATTTATAGAAAATTTTTGCATTTTTCAGTTAATTTTAGAAATGTGGAAATTTCCAAAATTTGATTCTCTTCGTAAGAGTTAGTTCGAATCGAATTTCGTGACCATGCCAATTGAAGTTTTTGCACACCCCTAGAGTCGGTTTAGTTTTTATTCAAGTCAAAAAGAGTGATTTTAGTTTCGTCTGTTGTTTACATAACAAAATCAAATGTGTATGAATTTTGTTTTAGAGTTTATAAAGGTAATAATTAATAATACAGTGAAGTAATATAATTTTGTTTTGTTTCTAAAAAATTCAAATGAAAATGTTGTTTTCTTCAATCGAAGACGAAACAAAATTCCAATTCCAGACGCTATTCCTATATATATGCAGCACTCGGGTGCTAGTAAAGTAACACTCCTTAAGTTATATTCGCAGTAAGAAAAATGACGTTATTCAAAGTATACTGATGTGGTGGATGTGTCATAATTTTGGAATAATAAAATATTAGTGCATTAGTAGTATTCGAGCATTCTATGAAATACCAAAGCATTTTTCCATACTACTTGAATTTAATGTTCATCGATCACCCAACGTAAGAACCAAGCTCGGTGTTTTGGAATTACGATGAGGTAGCAGACATGCGTAGAATGCACATACTTTTATCTCCCCTTCTTGTGAAATATGTATGTGTAGGCAGTGTGCAGGAGGGTAGAGCGCAATGGATTCTGCACAGACCTACGTTTCTGAAAAATGGCGATTTCTTAGAAAACAGATTACCAGCATCCGTGTTCAGGATTTTTCCTACATTTCCCTCCATCATGTCGGGTTTATGCAGTCCTGCACAGTTTTGGCTGCAAATTTTTATTTCCTAATTGATTCTAAGCTAATAAACTACCCTTAATTAGCCCAAATTGTTAAGTAACAACGTAATTTTTCAATTTTATATAAACATTGCTAATTGTAGAATTTGCAAATGAATCCTACTTTAGAACAAAAAATAGAGTATAGGAAATTTGATTACCAAAACCTTTATGGGGTTACAAGGGTCAAAATTTCCAGAAAATGTATGTTTTTTTAATAATTTATTTTTTTCTTTCAATACTTTTTATCTTAAAGTACACTATTAAATGAATGACTTGTACAGTTTTCGTCAAAAGATATTCAAAATCAGGCCCATTAACCACAGTAGGTTTTTTGAGACCTCTTCCAAAAAAGTACGTTTGCGATGGTCACGATATCTTCCGACTGCTTCAACTAAAATCGAAAAACCAAATAGTTTTTGCTAGTGGGTGTGTACAGCTCGTGATTAAAAGAAAACTTTTTTAAAAAATTGAAACTTGAATGTTTGACTGCGTTTTTTGTCAAAAATTACGATTTTTAGGACTATTTAAACCAAGTAAAATCGCACGGAGAAAACTGGATATTCAAAAGTAGATATTGAAAAAATGTATTAACTCTTAACATCAAAAATATTAAACTTTAATATCTAGATACTAAATGACATGCTATAGATATTAACGCTTAACATCCAGATATTTACTTTTAATAACTATATAGCTGTCCCTATGTTAAAGAATAAAAATATTAAACTTTAACATCTAGATATTTATACCTTAAATATTCATTTTTCTCCGTGCGGTTCTTCTAATCAAGGATAAAATTTCTTTGCTCAATCAAGAGCTATATATACTTGCACCCACTAACAGAAAATATTTGGTTTTTATACTTTCGATGATGCAGTCAGAAAATATCGTGACCACTGCAAAAGTCCCTTTTTTAAAGATGTCTCAAAAAAACTGTTGCTAGGGGCCAGATTTGAATGTTTTTTAACGAAAATTTCACAAGTTACTCACTTATAATTAAGATATGAAAAGTGTTGAAACAAAAAAATTTATTTTCTTAGAAAAAGAAATTATTAAAAAAAAAACGATTTCTGCACGTTTGACCCGCATGTAACCCCTTAAATCACTTAATTATGATAAAGTATAATTAAAAAGAAATAAACGTCTTAAAGATGGAAGATTATGGAAATAATTCATAAGGTACAAATTTTCTATCTTAAAATTAACTGAGAAATGTCATTTTTTTCAGTTTCGCGAAAAAAGAAAATATGGATTTATCGCAGGTTTTGAAAACTTGCTACTGGTTAAAATTATTAATAAATCAAAATATTAGGCAAATAGAAAAATTTAATGTTTTGTTCAAAAGTTAAGCGATACTTTTTCTGAATTAAATTAATCTACATAAGAGAAAAGCATCTTAATTTGTCAATAATTAAAAAAAGGATCTCCAACTATTTTGTACAATAATTAAAGAACCTCGAAAACATTAGAAAGAAACTTTCATTTGGGAAATTGAACTCCAATGCTATTAAACTCGACTAAAACTGCTGAATGAAGCTCACCGCGAAAAGTTTTAATAAAGTAAATGGATTTAAACTGTCTACATTCAACTAAATTGGGTTTAAAATATGCATCTAAATTTGATAAGTATATAGGTATTTAATTACTCCGTCATAATCTTTGAAGAAAAGTTAATAAACAATGTCCGGATTTTTAATAACGTCGCGTCGGACAAGAAAAATATAGTTTTGTTGGAAAGTTTCGAATTCTAAAGGAAAAGAAGTGAGTCATATTGGCTGGAAATGAAAGGAATTTGCGCTATGCTCTCTGCAATAATATTTTGCAGAATGTTTATAAAGTGTTGAATATCAGTTCGTTCGTTGATCGTATATATTAACTCGGAGTATGTGACATTTGCAACAACATTCTTTCTTGTAATTATCCGATTTAGCAATAATTTTTCATTTCATTAAAATAAGTTAATTTTTAGTCCTCAAGTAATGTATTCAAAGCGGAGTGAATTTTACTTTTTAAATTATATAATTGAATAAATTTTTCATTTGAATGAATTTCTAAGGATATCAAATTGAGACAAAAAACAAATCAAAAGTGTTTGTAAAGCAACATTTTGATTCATTTTTTGATATCCTTAGAAAAACTGTGAATAGAGAGAAACATTCTTAATTCTTTCTAAGCTTTAGGGATATAACATAAACCTTTAATTATTAATTTCATTATTATTAATTTTAATGATGCAATTAATGAACTTTGAAATCCGTCTTAGTTTGATGTTTCGAAAGTATGTTCGCAACTGCTTTCAGACGAAATTCAGGGGATTGATCCAATAAAGAGTTGAGTTAATTAAGTTTAGATAATCCTTTCAATGAACCATTACAGAGCTCTTTGTAAAATCTCAGCAAACGGTTCGACATGAATCTTTTTCTCAGTGTACACGAATAAGCTTTACTTTCCATTCTCACGTTTATGTTCGTTTTGCGTGCGTGTCCATCGCTGGCAAATAAAAAGCTGGCTTTGCACTGCACCTATTTGCAACTGGTCAAATAGCGCTTTTCAATTTTCTTATTATGCCTGAAACGGCACATATGATAACCGTCATAAAAGTACTTTTACGACAGTTGTCATGCAGTACTAACAAAAAGATGCCTTTTAAAGTGCTGCCTTAAAAGCGACTCTTTGATTAGCCTGTGGCGAAAAAATATAGTGTACGAGACAAGCACGTAAAACTTCGGTTCGACTCGGCTTGTCTCGTCTTACCTTCGTCGCATTGACGGCTCTTCCTAAAAGCTTCAGCTTCTCGTACTTCGTGCTCTCGAACAAATT